AGCTACACTCTTCGCCTCACCGCCATCTTCAACATATGACGAGGTATAATTTAGTCGTAACTTTAAACGTAATTTAGGTATGCATCACGTAAACAAGGGTTTAGGCGCACTACCAAGGCCAAAGAGCTTAAAAGTGCAGAGCTCAGTTATGCCAGTTTCTGTAACATACAACTTTGTCGTCAGTGCTTTTCCCTTAGAAATGTAATTAAGCAGCCTTTTGTTTGCTTTTCGCACATGTGCATTAGCTTTTTTTGCGAATCTATCTCAATAGGCCATTTCCGAGTTCCCCCGGGCCTCTGTATCAAAACGAGGTTAAGTGCTCAGCCTTTGATATGCAAATAATTTTTCAATCTCGTCCAAATAAAACTCATTTTCACAAGAAAGGTTGTGCACTTGGCCTCATTTTGAAAGTGATGGTTTTTGGAACTCGGAAGTGGCCTTTTTTTGTACCCTGCGAGCAGAGGTTTCTTTCTTAGCATTTACGAAGTCGTTCGCGTCGCTTGTCATTCGGGTACTTGGTATGTTTTATGCGACACGGGCTGGTTAACTTTTTAGGAAAAGGACAAATTTAATCGGCAAAGGATATTTTGCTGGGGGGTCGTTTTCAAAGCAGTGATTTTGTTACCTCTGCATCCTACGTCCCTGACACATCAGAATCCCCAAAGACGCCCAAAAGTTCATGGCACGCGTCCCGTAGGAGACAAAGATCGATCGATCTGAAGATGTTTTTGTAGAATATCCTGTGCGTGTGATTTCTGTGGCTGTTCTGATTTTAGTTCAAGTTTATGTCTCCTTTACTAAAAAGAGCGCAGTTTGGAAATATTTCGGAAATATCTATTGTTTTGGACCTTCATGCCTTAAATCCTGTGTCCGTATTAAAATGAATCGATGAAAAACATGCTTTAAATTGAATTGCGAATTAATGACAACAAACCGTATTTGTCTATGAGGGTATATCTATGACAAAATTCAATAACCTAAAAGTGAAAAGAGTTAAGTCAAATCTGAAATATACCGAGTCAAAGTTGGTAAAAAAAAAGACTACGGTAAAAGGAAGAAATACTAAAAAAGCCACTATCATATTAGGTATCACGCAGAAAAAGGCATCACGCTAAAAGGCAACACGCAAAGAGGCATCACGCACAGAGGCAACACGCAAAGAGGCATCACGCACAGAGGCAACACGCAAAAAGGCATCACGCAAAGAGCCAACACGCAAAAAGGCATAACGCAAAGAGCCAACACGCAAAAAGGCATCACGCAAAGAGGCAACACGCAAAAAAGGCAATTTGCAAAACGGGCATCACGTGAGAAGTTTACTTAGGATCCAGGCCTGGATCTTAAACAGTATTATTTAGTACATACTGCAACCAAACCGAAATGGTATTCGAACGAGACATTCTATCTTGCTCACCTCGTGAGGTGCTTATTCGGTACCTTAGGCGTGCCCTGATTGATACATTACAACAAGTCCAAAACAGAATTGACAGCGATTGCATTTCTTTCTGGCTGGGAAACTTAAATATTTACTTTTGAGATCGGCACATCTTTAGCAAGATGGCGGACAGGTTTTAGCGGTTCTTCGTGGAGCGTTAACAGCAGTGGAAAATTGCCGTCAATCTGAGGGGAATCCCACCTTATGAGGGAAAGAAATGCAATCGCTATCAATTCAGTTTTGGACTTGTTTTAATGTATCAATCAGGCCACGCCTAAGGTACCAAAGAAGCACCTCACGAGGTGAGTAAGATGGAAGGTCTCGTTCGAATACCATTTCGGTTTGCTTGCAGTATGTACTAAATAATACTGTTTAAGATCCAGGCCTGGAGCCTAAGTAAACTTCTCACGTGATGCCCATTTTGCAAATTGCGTTCTTTGCGATGCTTTTTTGTGTGTTGCCTTTTTGCGTTATGCCTTTTTGCGTGTTGCCTCTTTGCGTGATGCCTTTTTGCGTGTTGCCTTTTAGCGTGATGCCTTTTTCTGCGTGATACCTATATGATAGTGGCCTTTTTAGTATTTCTTCCTTTTAGCGTGGCCTTTTTTTTACCAACTTTGACTCGGTATATTTCAGATTTGACTTAACTCTTTTCACTTTTAGGTCATTGAATTTCGTCATTCATATACCCTCATATTTGTCAGTGTTGTCTGCAGTTTGGCCAGAATTATGATAATAATAACTTGTAATAACCAAAGGTTAGGGATTGTGGGCGACAGTGATCGAAGATCAAAACACTTTTGCTCCCTTGCTATGCTTTGCGTAAGTTTTACGTGACAGATGGTCAAAACGCGCGTGATGAAATTGCGTTCCGTGCATTTCATTCATTCGTAGTGGAAGTCCAAACAAATGCTGGCTACGTTCATGCGAGCATGCGTAAAAACAACCTGGAGATCAGGATTGCGGGCTCCTCTTGTCGCCCCCAATAATAATAATTTTAAAAAATTCAAAACGCGCCAATATGTATCGAAACGTAACACAGACGCCTGTAATCAGGCGGCCCTTCTTCCCTTTTTACCGACTTACGCGCTTTCCCCCAAAAAAGAACGCCTGATTTGCTAGGCCTTTGAGATAACGAAATTCATTAACATCTTGTTATTATTTTCAGGCGTTAAAGCATTTTCAAAAAGCGGAAGAGCGTAAGTATTAAGCAAATAATCTACCCTCACACAATTATCATCAAAGGTCAGATAAGCTGGGGGGAAGGCAGAATGTTTAAAAAAAAATTTTTTTTGACGCGTTTTATACGTTAATTCGTATACTAATGAAGGTACACGCATGCTCGTGGAGGCTGTTCCTAGAAAACCACAGACACTTTCACTTGCAGGATGTCATTCAACCTCTTTTCCAGGACACCCTACAGAGGGACGAGTAGGAGAGAGCCCTTAGCCTGTGTACAGCCGCGTTCCAACCCCCCCCCACCCCCCCCACCCCCCCCCCCAACACAACCCACCCCAACCCCAACCACACAACCCCCACCCACACCACCGACACACACCCACCACCACCACCCAACACCCAGACCGCCAACACCGACAAGCTCGATTTCTTTTTTTTTTCACACCGAAAGCCGTGTAAGAGGGCGGCGTGGTTGGGGAGTTGTGCCGTGCGCTCTCCCCACCTTGCATTAACCCCCTTTTCCCGGACCCCCCCAAAAGGGGGGGGAAGGGGAGGGCCCCTACCCCGGTGACAGCGCCTTCCCCCCCCCCCCCCCCCCCCAACTCAAACGAGGTTAAACGTCATTCAGAGAGCACCGCAAACTGCCGTTTAAAGCCCCCAACTTTAAAGCCCCACCCCCCCCCCCCGGTGAAAAGCCTATCGACTAGTAAGCAAAAAATACATTTGATTACAAGCTCCCCTCTAACTTTGATTTTTATGTATCGAAATGAATTCGATTTATTATGACGTTTTGCTGTTTTGCTGGAAGCTTTATTTAAAACCAGTAAATGTAAACGGATTATGATAGTTTTTACAATACTATAACAGAAAAAACGAATAATGTTACTGGTTCGGAAGCGATCTACTTTTAGAATGTTGAAATGAAGACTGTGGCTATGGGCTAGTTATTTGAACGAAGTCTAACTTAAGGCACTTTCCACTTTTCAGAACTGGCCGGCCGGATTATGGCCGGACCGGTCATTTTGACAATGAAATAGGCCTTTTCCGCCAAGAGTTTTTGATGAAAACCCATTTCCTTCGTGCATACTATTTAAGACTTGACTGATCTGGGTGGATAGTTTTGATTTAAAGTGAGATTCTCATTGCGACGGGAATGGTCCGCTGGTCAGTCAGTTCTGACAAATGGAAAGGGTCCTTAGACCACCGCGGTTTCACAAATCTTTGTACTTCCAGATCTCTTCCTTAGTGGATTATTGTAAGAAGACAAATGCTTTTCTGTCTACGCTATATGCTTTCATTAAACTGCACACGAAATAGGGTGATTACGTAAAAGCGTTCGGCAAACTGAAAATGGTTTAGAACGCGGTTTTGTTAAACACTGGCTAAACTCCGTTTAAATAACTGTCCCTATAAGTTTGTTGGGAAATATCTGTCTGTTAATACGGTGTGCCTAGTTAACTGACAGAGAATAACTTTCTTTTTCCCCGTGTTGCTCAGTGGAACCAAATTTCTACAGCCAAAATCATCTGCTTCTTGGGAAAACACTTCTACGACAAAATAAGAAGGACGAGGCAAAGAAATGGCTTGAGAAAGCTGCGTACAGCAATCCGTGCAAAACCGTAGATGATGAATCGGTGAGCACTATACTGTGACTGCACTATTTTACAATGTCAATTCAGAAACTCCATGGAGAATGGGTACAAGCTTTTGGCGCAGTGATTTCTGGGATCATTTGGGTGGACAAGCGTTAGTTATGATTGGTGGATGGTATTCAAGGCAACCATTAACCAGTCATGAGCAACCGTTGCCCACCCAAATGATTCCAGAAATCTTTGCGCAGAGAGTTTGGATCCATTCCCCTCATAGTTTCTGGAGTGGGGAATAGTATTTCGTCTCATTTTGGCTAAACGGGTGAAATATTGATCTTGGACCTGAGACAGAAAGGCATCACATTGAGAGCTTTGATGTGGGCGATGACGAGTCTCTGGCCTCAAAAAGTAGTTTGTAGGAGTCAAATCTATTTGGCGAGAGCAAAATTGATGCTGATTTCTGACCAGGCCAGAGACTTGGTTAAAGAGTGTTTCAAAAGCGGGCCTCTATGTGTCCCTTTCAAAACGGCTCGTTTACATCCGGGATCTTGAATAATTGACTCTGTCAGGAAAGTTTACCTGAGTTTACGTGGAGAAAGCGAGAGTTATTGAGAGAGAAAGTAATTTGATGATATTTCACCCGTATTAAGTGTGGAAACATTCTGCCTGGTTGGTTGTGGATAGTTTTATCAGTGCCGGGAAAGTGGTTAATTGTGTGATGTTCTGAAGTTGTTGACAGACAGAATTCTTGTATGTCGTGGTGCTCGTGTTACAAGAATACTGTGTTCAAGCATAAAAACGCTTCGTGAGTGCTTAGTTGAAGTGATTTTGTCTTAGACATCCGAATTCTGGGCTCAAGGAAGGTGGATTCTTGGTCTGCTTTAGTCGGGCATCTCGCTATGAGCCCCCTAGTTTGAGAGACTGAAAGGTCATCATTTCTGTGCAGTTTACCCTGCGAGCAGGCTCTCCACCAGAGCGCCCAGGAGAGCTTACTCGCAGGCCAGTGCTGTTAAATTTGTTCATTTCATTACAAATCTGTCGCTTTTGCCAGAGCGACTTTTCGTGTGTTGCTAGTGATTAATTTGTCTTTTTTAAGCGCTAACTAGCGACTTTCAACTGCTTTTTATTCACCTCAAGGGTCAAATTGTTAAAACACACTTGAAACTTCTATAGGTACCTTTTAAAAAATCCAGTCAACAATAATCAACACTATTTAGAAGAACTATAAAAGAAAATTCGTCGACGGGAAATTGACGTGTAGACGATATTTTCAATTGCTTTAGAGAAAAAAATGATTTTAACCAATCTGTTTTTGTTTGTCTGTTTGTTTTTTTGTTCACCCTTTCAGACAGCGAAGGAACTCTCGAGAACTGTTTCTTGAAAAAAGACAAAGGAAAAATTCGTAGAGAATTTAGTAAACAAAACACCAAAGCTAGATGAGTTATGTGACATTTCTGTTATTCTTGACGTAATGGCTTGTCCGCAAATTTGGTGCGCGGGATAGCCAAGTGTGCCCGCGCGATTTTGCCACGCTGGGCAGTAGACCTACCCGAACCACGTTTTCACTGTTGTTGAAGCTTTCGAATATTTTCTTCTAATATAGAAATCTATTTTTTGCAGGCAAAGAAAGAGGCGGAAGAGCTCTTAAAGAAAAACTTTTAACGACAAGAACTTGTTTAACTTAGAATTTTCCTTGGAAACTGGGAATTAAGTATTTATTGGCAACTAGGCCAGAACTGAATTTAAAAAGAGCCCTTCATTCAGTGCCGGTAAATTGTAAATACCAGGTCATTTCTTTTTTCAAATCGCTACTCTTGGAACTCTAGCGCAGAAATATTTGTTGGTATTTCCAACATACATTGGCGTTTTCAAGAGGACATGACTGCCCATGTTCAACAAATGCTGCTATGCAGACTCATGCAATCATTGAGAACGTAAGTTGTATAGCTGTCCAACGACAGAGTCTTGGCTGGTTATACCTCGGCTTCTGAATGCTTTTCTTCGCCATTATGTTCGTGTTCCTCCGCCCTATTTCTGATAAATGGGCTTGATAAAATGGCTTGCTATTAAGAAATGAAATGACTTTTAATAAACGACAACTTGGTTCTCTTTTTTAAAATAACAGTTTAATATCCGACTGAACTTCTTTGTGGCCTTAGGGTTGAGTGGCTTCAGCTCTTTGGGCTGTGTTTTCTGGGCGAATCAGACATGGTAGCACCAGTCAAACCTCCAGTAGGGGCCACCTCTCTAAAACGGCCACCTCTGCACAACGGCCACTTCATTTTGTCTCACCGGGGCGAACAGTCCATACATAGACTCTTGTTTAAACCTCTCTACAACGGCAACGGCCACAAAAGCGTGTCCCTAACTGCCAAAATAACCTCTCGGCAACGGCCAGTTTTTTGAGCGACTGATGAAAAAGTCACTGAGAATGGTCAGGACATTTCATACCGTATGGCGCGTTGATGATTAATCGCGGCAACCGTTACCCTGCTAGCAGAGTCGCTTCGATCTTTCCTAGATAAGTCGGGAAAGAGGAAGCGATTCCTTCCTCTTCCCGGCTTATCTAGGAAGATCGAAGGAGACTCTGTTCGCAGGGTAGGCAACCGTACGCGCACATTTTGATTTTTTTTTCGTTTATACTGCTGCTACGATACTTATAGCGAATGTTGCGAACCTTGCTCGATCTGTCACGTTAAAATTTGGTTCAAGTTTTTTGTGTATTTTATCTCTATTATAATTGTTTTTTATGACTGGATTACCGTTATGGGATACAGTAAGCATGAACTTGGCACAATAAACGCGTTGTACTCCCCTAGAAAAATTTGTCATATTACACTCCTACCTCACTCCTGCCTCCTGTCCACAACGGCCACTTTCTTCTGTCCCTATAGCCTGCGTGGCAGGCTTTCGAAAGGGAAGGGTAATTAGGGCGCGAGGGAGCCCCACGCGCTCTCGCGCGCCCAAATTTCCCCTTCCCCTTTTAACGCCTGCCACATAGGCTATTGTCCCTAGGGTGGCCGTTTTTTTAGGGGAGTGGAACATGTTTTTTTTTCGTGGACAACAATGGCTAACATTTCTGCATATTTTAAACGCATTGTTAGTTGCTGCTGTTCACGTGAAAATGAAACTTGGAAACAATACCCTTCAAAAATGAGAGGCTCTCACTTGTAAACATAAAATTTCTGACAAAAAATTGTAAGCGAATTGTAGCCCTTATTTTACCACCTTATACAATATATCAATAATCTTGAAACTCAAAGGTCATATAAACGACGGTTAATCTCGAGAATATCAAATTTTTTAAAAAATCTATCGTGCGGTTTAAAAATTATTTGCTTAGTTGTTAAAGTGGACCAAAATGTTTACAAAACCGCTAACAAGAGCCCCTCGATACATACTAATGAAATCATTCTTTCTAACAATCGGCTGAAGTTATCTCCATGATCTTTCACGCAGGTTTTTAAAAAGATTGAAACTACTATGAGGTGAAATTGCATTTCAAAGTCGCCTCGTTTTCTACGAATGACGGCCGAACATCAAAATTATCCAGTGTATACCGCATTTCTAACCGTAAAATATATATATATATATCGTTAACGCTCTTACAGATTTCGCTTAAACTCTGGTCCACGCGTTTTTAACCTCTAGACTTGAGTTCTTTTCCTTTTTAAAAGGGCGTATGAACAGGCGGGGCACTAGCCGTTAGGCATATACGTTCTGTTTCAGTACTTGTAGATTTAAATTTTAAATTATTTTTTAAACAATTGTTCTAGGTTGTAGTTTAGATTTAATTTTTGTATTATTGCTTTTCTAGCCTTTTCTAGTTCCAGGTTTTAGTCTTTTTCAATAACGTTGGTTGTAAATTTTGTTTTTCCAACCTTTTTAACACTTAGAGTCTATTTGTAAGCCATTTTTATATTGTAAGGCAGGTTTTTTATCTCTGTGAAGCAGAAAACAGGGCATTATTTTTATGGATATACAGTGGAACCTCTCTAATACAGACACCGAAGGGACAGAGCGAAGTGTCCGTATTAAAGAGGTTACTACGATATCGTCACTTTTATGACTCCTCTTACAGTTTTAAGTGTTCAGTAGCTAAAACCAGGCTCACACTCGTCTTTAAACTGCATTTAAATTTATCAATTCACTGTGCAAAGACACTGTCTTTCAGTAGCATACAACATTGTACATGTCAGCTGCAAAGTAAGTGCAGTCGTAGACAAATCACTGTTTAGAACGAAACGAGGTACAGCGCAATGCTCCATGTAAAAAGTTGTAACGTAAAGCACAATTCTAAAATCTTCTTTCGCTATTTTGCAAGTGCAGTAAACAGTAACTAGAGTACAAAATGTAATAGAAAAGATCCTTATGCTATCTGTAATTATTCAAGCATTAAAAACGTCGGTTATGTTCCTCTGTACACCTTTTGCAAATCGTTGTTTCATATACAGCGACTGGGCTTTTAAATCACCTTGCATAGCTCATCAGCCAGACGGGATTCGGGATTCATCTGATCACCATAGTGTCCGTAATAAAGAGGTTAAGTTTATATGAATTTACTTTCTGGGGCCGAGATTTAGTGTCCGTTGTCCTTATAAGAGAGAGTCCGTATTATAGAGGGTTTTTTTTTCTTAAGAAAATGTATGAGAATTTTGACGGACATTGGAAACTGTCCGTAATAGAGAGGTGTCCGTACCGAGAGGTTCGATTGTAGTGCTATGTAAGTAAATAAATATTGAACGATTTTGGAAGAACCGTTCACAGTGCCGAGAAATACAGCTGCAAGTAAAATAAGTAATGGCGTCATTTCGTTGCTATGACAACTCCGATGCCATTGTAACCCTGATCACAACAAATTTTCATATCTGTCTAATATAGCTGTGGTGGTAATTTTTCCAAATCTTTGTAAATGGCGACGTAGTTCATGCTAAAACTTGGGAGGTATCGAGCCACCTTAAAAGATAGCATTTCCATTGTTTCTTTAACTTATAATATGGTAGACATTTGAGACCGAGTGCCGGGTACAGTTTCCCAGAGTTGAACCTGAAAGTATATAAGACGTTTTACTTACTTGTTAACTCATTATTTAATTATATTTGAGGTTTAGCTTTTACTCAAGGGATATTTTGTTTTCGTGCAAAGATGCGCTACATCAAAAAGTGGCTTTGATTTTCAGTGTCAACTTATAATTTTATTAATTCAGTTGTTTGAACAAAAATAGACTTTCATACGGTATGCAAAACTTAGCCGGCGGCAGTGACGTTGAAGGAAATACGAAAAGCCGTGAAACAAAAGCCAATCAGAATTGTCTTTACCGAGGAGCTATTTGAAACAGTTTTAATGCAACATTGTCTTAAATTAATAATAATTTGGAGAGACATAAACATGTAAAAACTAAGGAAATAATTTTCCGACATAACGACATTATAACGCCATTATCAAGGAGCGGAAATAAATGCGAGTTTAAAAGGATTAAAATTTGACTGCCTCGTTTACGAAATGCTTTACAACGCCCAGCAAGTAAGCAGTCTATTTTTTTTTTAAAGACGGGTTTTGCTTTAATATTACATTTGTCTTCGTATCAGAGAGAATTAGAAGCTATGTTGTCGACATCTTGCTGATATATAGTTTTATCTTTTAATGTTTTGACATATATTTTTATTATATAGATACTAATGAAATACCAGGATTTTTCCTTTTCCTAAAAAATCATATCTTGATCGCGCGCGGTGAAGATACTAATTTTATCTTTCACGTGTGAGGATATTGGTGTCGCCATGGTTACTAACATTAATTTTGACCTTTTGGAACAGAAAATCATAAGTATTATTGTCGTTATTTCTCCTTTATAACTTTATATCCGAGTTTCATAACATTTTTGTGACAGGCATTTTGCGATAGGTGACCACTTTAATTGCACTATTTTGCTGTCAAGTTTCGAAAATGAATAAAAAAAAAGTTGTGTTTTATGTAGGAATTTCATCAGCATCCATAAAATAAATGCGCTGAAAGTATCTCTCACTCGTGAGAGAGACTTTCAGCACTCGAAGATAAAATTCGTATCCCGGCGCGGCCATGTAATATATATTTTTATTCATGATATTGATATTATTGACCACACCTGGAAAGTAATAACAATATTATTATTAACCTCAGTCAATTAAGACCGCCTTTGAACGTGCAAACGGTTCAGATCGTGCTAAAGTCATGCAAATTTAGACTTAATACTTTACCTCCTTTTGAACTCGCATTTATTTCTATTCCTTGATATTAACCGGTCGTGATATCGCCGAAACGTGGCAACATTATTTCGTTAGTTTTGACACGTTTATGAACATGGTCTTTACACTGCTCATCACCGTATTCTATATCATTTTCGAGGCTATCGGTCTTCTTGGTAATTTACTGGTAATTACCACAATTTTCTTGGAATCCAGATTTCATGTGATGCGATATGTTGCACTCGCTAGCCTTGCAGTGTCGGACTTTCTGTATTTAATTCTCGTTCCCTCATTTCGCATTGCAAGCATGGTACAAGGACGGTGGTCGTTCGGCGAAACGTTGTGCAATCTAAATACCAACTTTGCCAGGTATTTCTACTTCAACACGATTCTTCATCTGATAGTAGTTTCTTACGACCGATACCGTGCAATAGTGAA